GCACCAAGCGGTCAAGCGGCTCATGATGGCACAGGGAACCAGTGGCACAGATGGTATTTGAGCCCAGGTCTTCCAACACCCAGCCGTGTGTTCTAGCCATTAGGCCACGCTGCCCCATCAGCCTCCCTCCTGCCCCCCCCCCACCTACTCAAGCTCACACCACTGGGGGCACATGCAGCCAATAAGCAACAATCGGAGCTGGGTAGTGCGGACCTAGGATACGACACCCTTTCCCACCCTGCTGGGACTAACTTTTCCCTGCTCTGAAGGGCCGGGCAAGGCAGGTTGTAGTGATTGGGATTTCGCTGGCTCTGTCACTGGTCTGACATCTCCCGTGACGCAGCACGCTCTGCTTGGAAACAAAGGGCAGTCCCCTCTGCACGGCCCCCAGCCCTGGCCCTCCTGAGGGCAGCCACATTGCCGGTCATCTCCTGCATCCGTGCCCAGATGGGGAACCGCCTCGTGTGTTCTCCCCTCTCCCCGCAGACACTGAGCCGAGGGTCAGCCTGGGCCTGGCTTCAGCTGGACGGGACGCTCAGAACTGGGGAACTGCTGCACAGGGCTTTCCCCAGGGCCGGCCAGAGATGTTAACAGCAACGGCTGCTCTGCAGTGGGGACGGCAGCAGTTTAATGGGCAGCAGGTTTAAAACAAACAAAAAGAAGTATTTTTTCACACAACGCACAGTCAACCTGTGGAACTCCTTGCCTCAGGATGTCGTGAAGGCCAAGACCATAACAGGGTTCAAAAAAGAACTAGATAAGTTCATGGAGGATAGGTCCATCAATGGCTATTAGCCAGGATGGGCAGGAATGGTGTCCCTAGCCTCTGTTTGCCAGACGCTGGGAATGGGCGACAGGGGACGGATCACTTGATGATTCCCTGTTCTGTTCATTCTCTCTGGGGCACCTGGCAATAGCCACTGTCGGAAGACAGGACACTGGGCTAGATGGACCTTTGGTCTGACCCAGTGTGGCCGTTCTTATGTTCTTAATGTTCGGTGCTGCAGTGAGGCCTAGGGGTGTCTGTCTGTCCCGTGTCCCTTCTGTCTCTTAGCTCTTCCAATGGCTGCCTCCCTCCCCCCATTGCCATGAGATGCTCAGACGGCTGCATCGCTGCCTGACTCATGGGCGTCTCCTTGCAAAATTGCACCCACTGAGCGATTGCACCTGGCGCCTGGCAGCTGCTTCTGGTCACGGGTGCTCTGTAAACACTTCAGTTGGATTACTGCATACAGCAGCCTCAACCTCCTTCCCCCCGCGGCTCCCCGGGCTCCGCAGCATGGAGATCTGACAACCTGATGAGCTCTGCAGCTTCCCCGGGCTACTGGGGTATGAGGGGTCCCTCGGAGTGGAAGACCATCCACCGGGGTGTTCCCAGTCAGGGCTTCCGCACGTAGGCCGCCCGTATTGCCTAATAAGCCGTTGCATCCTCCGAGCCTCCCAGCCGAATGATGTGACGCTTGATGGGGTCCCTGAAGCACCAATGCCTTCTCCTGGAAGTGGCGCTGCTAGAAAAATGGCAGCACCAGTGGCTCTCGGCTCCCCGCTGCAGCCGCCCGGTCCTTGGCACTGCGTGGGGAGGAATTGGGAAGCTGCCGTCGCTGCCTTTGCCCGGATAAGCCCAGAGATTTTGCATCAAGGTCCTGGGTAAAGCAGTAAAAGGGCATAAGGGATGTAGGCACCTTGGTACTGTTTTACAGTATCTTGGGCACTCGGGCTCAGCCCCTCAAAGGTGCCTAGGTGCCCATTTCCCAGGGAAATCGCTGCCCGGGGCATGAGCTGAGATGAGGAAGAAATCTCTACTGCGTACGGGCACAATCAGGGGGACCATCCTCCGAAGCACCTGGCATTAGCGATTGTCAGAGGCTGGGTAGGATAGACTCGTTGGTCTGCTCTGATGCAGAAACTCCCCTGCTCCAAAACGTCTGAAATTATCGCATCACGTGCACGCCGAAGGCTGCAATTCGCCTCTCTCACCCTCCTGCAAAGTGGGTATTTTGCTTCCTGTAAGTTGCAGCACAGCTTGATAAATCAGGCAGGTGTGTGAGAGTCCACGGGGCCTGGAAACACTGGAAGGAACCTACAGATCTTCATTTGTTTTTGTGATCCTGCAACAATCCACTACTGTGGTACCATCAACAGGAATTGACTCCACGGCCTCTAACATAAGAACGGCCATACTGGGTCAGACCAATGGTCCATCTAGCCCAGTATCCTGTCTTCTGACAGTGGTCAATGCCAAGTGATTCAGAGGGAATGAACAGAACAGGGCAATTATCAAATGATCCATCCCCAGTCATCCACTCCCAGCTTTTGGCAAACATAGGCTAGGGACACTCAGAGCATGGTTTTACATCCCTGCCCGTGCTGGCTAATAGCCATTGATGGACCCATCCTCCATGAACTTATCTAGTTCTTTTTTGAACCCTGTTATAGTCTTGGCCTTCTCAACATCCTCTGGCAACGAGTTCCACAGCTCGACTGTGCATTGTGTGAAGAAATACTTCCTTTCGTTTGTTTTAAACCTGCTGCCTATTCATTTCATTTGGTAACCCCTAGTTCTTGTGTTATGAGAAGGAGTAAATAACACTTCCTTATTCACTTTCTCCAGACCAGTCAAGATTCTATAGACCTCTATCATATCCCCCCTTAGTCGCCTCTTTTCCAAGCTGAACAGTTCCAGTCTTTTTAATCTCTCTTCATATAGAAGCTATTCCGTACCCTGAATCATATTAGTTGCCCTTTTCTGTACCTTTTCCTATATATATATATATATTTGAGATGAGGCGACTAGCTCTGCACGCAGTATTCAAGATGTGGTTGTATCATGGATTTATATAGTGGCAATATGATATTTTCTGTCTTATTACCTATCCCTCTCCTAATGATTCCCAACATGCTGTTCGCTTTTTTGACTGCCACTGCACATTGAGTGGATGTTTTCCGAGCACTATCCACAAGGACTCTTTAAGCGTGTGGACTTACCCCAGCAGCGCCTCCTGCTGGTCTCTCAGGGAATTAGCTCCATTTCCAGCCCGGAGCGCCCTCTACAGGCCGGTGATCCACCCCAGCTTGGCCCCCGTATCCCTCCCAGACTCCGGTGCCCGTTTTCTCTGGGGTGCTGCCCCCTGGCAATACCCCAACAATCTCTGTGGGTCTCCCTTCCCCAGGGAACCCCCACCCATTACCCCCACCTCGCCTCAGTCTGGGCTATGGCCAGTCCTTACCTAGCCCCCGCTCCCTGGGGCAGACTGCAGTATAAAAACACTCATCACAGGCAAGGGGGTTTGACCTCCTACCTTCTTCCACCACCCAGTACCTCTATGGGCCTGGAACCAGGCCCTGCAGCCTGGGAAGTCGCCAGCCTAGAGCTCCCCTGCTCCTCGGGCCTTTCCCCAGCCCTGCTTCACTCCCAGGTACCCGCTTATTCCCCTGCAGCCAGGCTGGTCTCCAGGGTTTTGGCCGCCCCAAGCAGCCAAAAAAAAAAAAAAAAGCCGTGATCGCGATCTGCGGCGGCAATTCGGCGGGAGGTCCTTCGTTCCGAGCGGGAGTGAGGGACCGTCCGCCGAATAGCTGGACGTGCCGCCCCTCTCCGGAGCGGCTGCCCCAAGCACCTGCTTGCCAGGCTGGTGCCTGGAGCGGGCCCTGCTGGTCTCCCTCCACAGCTAGAGGAGAGACTCTGCTCAGCTTCTGGCTGCCCTGGCCTTCTTATAAGGCCCAGCTGCCCTGATTGGGGCGTGGCCCAGCTGCAGCTCCTTCCCCAATCGGCTTGGGCTTTTTCTCCTAGCCCCGAGCCCTCTCCCAGGGCTGGCTTCTCCCCTGTCAGGGCTGGAGCGGGAAACCACTCCGCTACAGCCTCCGAGGTCTCTTTCTGGAGCGGTAACAGCCAATTGAGACCCCATCATTTTATCTGTAGAGTCGGGATTATGTGTTCCAATGTGCTTTGCATTTATCAGTGTAGAATTTCCCCCCCAAGAGCAATCCCCTACTATTTGAGTTCAAGGTTAGCTTCATTAGATGGCTCAGTAGTAGGCTGGTTTTTTGTATATGGACCTGCCTCATCATGGAAACCCCAATAGCTTTGCTCATTGCCTGTGCTATACAGTAGCTGCCGTGAACCCCTTACTGCATTGCTCTCTTTACACCCCTTATGTAGCACTAGGGCTTGGGGAAGCCCAGCAGATCTCAGGAGACCTCCAGCAGCGATGGGGCCCTTGGGAACTCCATGCTCTCGTCAGCAGCGCTAGAGCCCCTCTGCCACAAAACTGGGCCAAATCCTAGGTGTACGAACCCCAAAGGGCACTGGACATGCTGCTACTCTTTAGCTATAAGGGGCCCGTGCTGCAGCGGGGGTAAATCAATGTAGACTCATCGGGAGAGCTCTGCAGTTAGTGTAACTCCAGCACCACTCCATTGACTTCAGTGATCAAACAAGCGAAAACCTGGCTGAAAACCAAGGTCTCCGGGGCCCGTTCTAGGTTAAGCCTGGCCCAGCCCCATCGGGTCCCTCTGAACGGGCGTCTAACAGCAGTGTCCTCTCGTTCTGGCTTTCTAGGAACAAGGTGGCCCGAATGCAGCACATCTGAAGGAATGCAGCTCATTCCACGGCGTGGACTAGCCCCTGGGATCTGCGTGGGTTAAAAATCGGACCCGGGCGCAGCGTGCGGAGGGACTGGAAACCATCTGAGTAGCAGCCGCACTTCAGACAGCCCCTCGGCTCTCCCTCCTGCTCTGCCCGCCCCCAACTCGGCAGCTCCCCACCTCCTTACTAAAGGACACCGGAGAGCCACTTGTTAACACTCAGGGGACCTCCCCTCCCCAGCGGGAGGTCTCTGCTAAGCCGCATCCGCTGCCACCATCCACCCAGCTTCACACCCCGCTCTCTTTTGCCCCCTGGCGAAGACTTTGCAAATGAAAGCTGCTGTGCTGGGGATTGCAGCCTGTGGGAGGATCAGCGTAAGGGGACAGGGTGGGAAGCAGTGGTGCCGGCCTCCCGGAACATGGATCGATTCGCCAGCAGATTCCCACCTCTTAGGAACGTGGCCGTGTGGTGCTTCATCCTGCTCCGATCAGGTAAGGGACTGCGGTGAATAATGAGATTTGACAAAGGCCAGTGGTAGGACCACAGGACCGGGAGCCAGGAACTCCTGTGTTCTAATCCCGGTGCTGCTCCCTGGAGCCTTGGCCAGGTTGTTTGACCTCTATGAGCTTATTTCCCCATCTGTAAAATGCTTTGAAAATTAAAAGCTACTGTTTAAATGCCCCATATAACAACTGTTGTGGAAAATTGACCCCACGGTTGATTTTGGATCAGACAGCCTGAGGCTCCTTTATTGATCAAACAAACAGGCATGCACGGGGGAGTCAGCTAAGGCAGCCGAACACCCACCCGACAGATAAAATACGGGAGCTTATATAGGATAAAACCACAATTAGTAATACATACTTTCTTATCAACATTATTGCCATATTTGGAATACAATATCCTTAAAAGGGAATATAGCATAGCAAGTTTTCCTGTTATTCTTAGTTTGCCCTGTGCGGTTTCTTGCTCTGTCACCTGACATCTATTACTCATAGTCGGTTACAACGGTTAATTCTACTTTTATAATTTCTACAGTTAGTTCTGCTTTTATGATTTCTGTCTACCCGTCTCCTTTTTACCTCCCCCCTTCCCTCCAGGTCACACATACAGTTCACCTGACCCTACATACAGTTCACTTGACCAAAGTTTAGGCCTTAGTCCATTTTTCCTCCACAGTTCCCCCCTTTGGCGCTTCTCTGGCGCCACCTTTGGCCTAAACTTCCACGTTCATGAGCCCATTGATTTCCTTCCTTTCCACAACACAACCTTTCCCGTTCGATTCTCAGCAGCATTTGAACTCAAGACCTTTAGTCATAAAAGTGTAACCCTTCTGCCCATCTAAGTTGGCAGCAACAAGGGCCGGGTTCAGTATCTAGGGGTTCTGTTTCAATAACACAATGCAAAACCGGCTCGAGCCCCCACCCAGTGACCTGGGACAATTACATACCACCCCCCTGGGTACCTCTAAGAGGCAATACTTCCCCTCTCGCAAGCACGGAGTCTGAGTGTAGCAGAAAATGTTTAATAACATGAGGTAAACGACATCAGCATAAAATTGGAAGAACACCACAAACAGGATTCATAACACAAACCATGAGTAAAACCCACCCCAGCAAATTGGGCTGTGTCCTTTCCCTTTGGTTCTTGAATCCAGCAACCCAAAAATCACCCAGAGTCCCCAAAGTCCAACACCCCCAAAGTCTCTTGGGTCCAGCAACCACCCAAAGTCCCAAAAGTCCAACAACCCCCAAAGTCTCTGTCCCTGGTCAGTGCAGCCCCAGAGTAAAAGGGGGGGGGGCACACAGGGTGTTAAGGGGCACCTTACGTGATCCAAGGCTGGCCAGCCGTCTGTTTCTCCGTGGGGGTTCCGCCGCAGCCTTTACCACGAGCCAGTCCACTTTCCTGCCATCCCACGAACTGCTCCGCTCTACAAGCTGCTCCGCTCCGCTCCGCTCACCGACCTGTGAGCCGTTCCAGCCGTCCCCGCAAACAGCTCCGCTCGCCGTTCCTTGGGCCACTCCAACCGGCCCCGCAAGGCTCCACGCCGCTCGCTGCTCCTCCAGTCGTCCCCACAAATTGCTCCACCAGCTGCTGAGCAATATAGCTTCAGGCTCCCCCACTAGTTAACACAGCACTCAGTGATCTCAGCTCTTAATAACATCAGCTCTTTTGTGATTTCAGCTCTTAGCAATTTCAGCTCATAGTATAGTAGGGGAGCCCCAGTGCTGGTGCACCATTGGCCCAAAGTGAATTCAGCTCAGCAGCCTGTAACTAGACTCCTAAGGGAATCAAAGTTCGCTCTGACATTCAACAGTGGAGAGAGGAGGCAGTGCAATTGGTGTTTGAAACCCTCAGAGAGGGCCCATACCATCAGGTACAAATACCTGTCCCCATCCTCTCTCAATTCACTGGGTTTTGTAACCCATGCCCCTTGTCAAGCAAGTGCTACTTAGGTAATGGTGAAGGACTCACTCAGTCCTTCTGTCATACAACAGTTCCACTGGCCGTGATTCACAGAATCAGGGTAACAAAACTTTATTCTTCCTGCCCCAATAATAGAGAAACTGGGGATCCCACACCAGCCAAAGTAACCACTTTCAGTTGCTGTGTTTCATGCCAGGCGTGTGGGTGTGCCTATGCAAACAAGATCAGCCCCTGGAGTTCTTTTCCACACTCGCCATAATTCACCACCAGATGTCAGGGTAGAGCTCATCCTGACTCTGCTTACAAAAGCATGAGTGTCTTTCACTTGAGTTAAAGGGGTAACTCCTTCAGCTAACAGTTGTAGTAGGATGTTATGTGTATCAGCCACTGTGGGGGCCAGAGAGCCACACCATACTAGTATGGTCCCGAAGGAGCCCAAAGCAGTTTTGCAAACCGTCAAACCATTTGATATCAAACTGGGAGGGCGTATCTAGTGGAGTCCAACAGGGGCCAGTCCTAGGTCCGGTACTACTCAATATTTTCATTAACAACTTGGATAACATAGTGGAGAGTATGTTTATAACATTTGCAGAGACACCAAGCTGGGAGGGGTTGCAAGGATGTGGTTTGAGCATTGGCCTGCTAAACCCAGGGTTGTGAGTTCAATCCTTGAGGGGGCCATTTTGGGATCTGGGGGGGGGAAAGTTGGTGTTGGTCCTGCTTTGAGCAGAGGGTTGGACTAGATGACCTCCTGAGGTCCCTTCCAACCCTGATATTCTATGAAAGACGTTGGGGGACAGGATTAGAATTCAAAATGACCTTGACACATTGAAGAACTGGTCTGAAGTCAACCAGATGAAATTCAATAAAGACAGGTGCTACACTTAAAAAGAAAACATCAAATGCACAGCTACAAACTGGGGGATAACAGGCTGGGGGTCGTACTGCTGAGAAGGATCTGGGGGTTACAGCGGGTCACAAATTGAATATGAGCCAAAAATGTGATGCAGCTGCAAAAATGGCTAATATCATTCTGGGGTGTAATTAACAGGAGTGCCCTATGGGAGACAATTGTCCTGCTCTACTGAGCACTGGGGAGGCCTCTGCTGGCGTCTTGTGTCCGGTTCTCGGTGTCACACTCTAGCAAAGATGTGGACAAATTGGAGAGTCCAGAGGAGAGCAACAAAACAACTGATCAAAGGTTTCAAAAACTTTATCTATGAGGAACGGTTAAAAAACTGGACATGTTTAGTCCGGAGGAAAGAAGACTGACATGGGACCTGATAACGGTCTTCAAATATGTTAAGGGCCGTTATAAAGAGGAGGTGATCAGTTGTTCTCCATGGCCATGGAAGGCAGGGCAAGAAGGAATGGGCTTAATCTGCAGCAAGGGAGAGTTAGGTTAGATAGTAGGAAAAACTCTCTAGCTCTCGGGGGAGTTAAGCTCTGGAACAGGCTTCCAAGGAAGTTGTGGAATCCCCATCACTGGAGGTTTTAAAGAACGGATTAAACAAACCCGTCATGGATGGTCTACGTTTACTTGGTCCTCAGTGCACGGGGCTGGACTTGACTTCTCGAGCCTGATATTTCTACGAAACTTTGCAAAGAATAAGCTGTGGTCAGGGGTATCATTTCACCCACTGGTGAAATGCAGCCACCTCTAGAGTGGGATGCAGCAGCTGTTTACCAGCAGTAATGCTCCCCACAGTTTAGAACAGGAAATAATTCAGAAGGCAACGGAAACTGCAGGAAGATTTCCAACCATGGCTCCACAAATGGCACTGTGGGGCTTCATGGTCATTGTCTCTCAGCCATTTCCAGATCACATGTGCTCTGTTTGCATGTAAAACTTCAGACCCTCCAAACTCTCCCAGGGATCTGAGAGTCAAGCTGGGTTCTGTCCGTCTCATGCAGCATCACTAGCAATAAAGATTCTGCAGGGAAAATTCTGCCCACAGTGACACTTGTGATATCTCCATTACCTTCACACTTGGCCCTCAGTGACGGCTGTGTAAATCCATTCGCCATCAATGGGTTTGCAGCACTTACTGATCGCTTCCTGAGTTCCCGTCATGTTGATGCTGCACAAGAAGGGACAGAGCATCTCTTTCTCCTGTGGCGGGGCTGGCTCCTGCAGGGCTGAGAGGAGAACTATTGATTTCAGTAGGAGCCGACACTGCGCAACTTGCTGATTCTTGAAAGCCACGTGTGATCTTTGGTGGCTCTTCCCAAAGAGACAGCCCTTGCCTCACCTCCCATCGGGGACTAATCGGCTCACTCGAAACCTAGACTGGCAAGTGCCACCTTCTGAATCGTCACCATCACATCTACAGCAGCCAGGTTTCCTTTGGAGACTCCCCTCGGAGACCAATGCTAGTCCTGTGATTACAGCAGTGCCCTTAGGGTCAGGAGCCAGTCCCTGGCTCTGCAGCAGACACTAGGGTGACCAGACAGAAAATGTGAAAAATCGGGACAGGGGTGGGGGGTAATAGGCACCTATATAAGAAAAAGCCCTGAATATCGAGACTGTCCCTATAAAATCAGGACATCTGGTCACCCTAGCAGACACTCATGCCACCTCAATCTCTCTGTGGTAGCTTCAACGCGACTCCAGCTCCAACGTGCTCCGGTTACAAAGCGAAAAGCTCTTTCTTCTAACTGCCAGCCCTGCAAACTCACCCCGGCATCCAAGCACCATGCTGGGCATTTTCCTGCTTGTGTCTCATCAGCAAGAGTGGGCAGGAAAGTCAAGGCCGGGCTAACCCCTATGCTGCCTCTATAAGAACATAAGAACGGCCAGACTGGGTCAGACCAAAGATCCATCTAGCCCAGTGTCCTGTCTTCTGACAGTGCCCAATGCCAGGTGCCCCAGAGAGAATGAACAGGACAAGTAATCCTCAAGTGATCCATCCCCTGTCACCCATTCCCAGCTTCTGGCAAAACAGAGGCTAGGTACACTCCAGAGTATGATTTTGCATCTCTGCCCATCCTGGCTAATAGCCATTGATGGACCTACCCTCTATGAACTTATCTAGTTCTCTTTTGAACCCTGTTATAATCTTGG